CCCCCATGTAATATAGTATATAATAATTTCCCCATATAATACACATGTAATAATTCCCCCATATAATATAGTACAGTATATAATTAATTTCCCCCATATAATATAGTACAGTATATAATAATTCATTTCCCCCATATAATATACTATGTAATAATTCTCCCATGTAATATAGTATGTAATAATTAATTTCCCCCGTATAATATAGTACAGTATATACTAATTCATTTACCCCATATAATATAGTACAGTATGTAATAATTCTTTTCCCCCTATATAATACACTATGTAATAATTCCTCCATGTAATATAGTATATAATAATTAATTTCCCTGCCCATATAATACACTATGTAATAATCCCCCCCCATATAATACACTAGTAAGTAATTCCACATAATGTACACCATAATTCATTTCCCCCCCATATAATACAGTGCAGTATGTAATAATTCCCCCCTCCGTCCAGCATGTGCCGTTCGAAGTGCTCCCGGGATGTGAATGGCAATCCCGGCCGCCGCCTGCAGGGGGAGCGCGCTCTCCGTCTCGCTGGCATCACGTGACCCTGGCCTGAGCTCGCTTTCCAGTCACTGAGAAAGAAGAACAAAGATGGCGGCCGCGGCTGATCCGAAGCGAGGCGCCGCTAATTCGGATTGAACCGAGGCCGGATTCGCCCGTTCCCCTCCGCAGCTCTCCGTATCCGGGGCTCCCGAACCCCCCCCCCCAGTGCCGGCTCCCCGCTCCCCCCGCTCCCCCTCCCGGGCCGGACCCCCCGAGGCCGGACACCGCGCTCAGTATGAGGGGGCGGCGAGGAAGGCCTCCCAAGACCCCCGCGGCGGCGGCCCCGGCCACCAGCTCCCCGGCCACCAGCTCCCCCAGCACCCCGGCCGCCAGCTCCCCGCTCCTCCCCCCGGGACCCACCGCCGGGCTCCGCTCCCGCCTCCGGGGCAGCAGCCGGGGCCGCTGGGCGCCAGACACCCCCTACCGCAGGCCCAGCCCGGCCCCCGGGGGCCCCGGGAGGAGAGGGGGGGCGGCTGTGAGGGGGGCGGCCGGGGCCGGGGGGGGGAGGAGGAGGAAGGCCGCGGGCGGTGGGAGCAGCCGGGGGGGTCGCAGGGCGGCGGGGGGCAAGGCTGGCAGCAAGGCGGGGGGCAAGGCTGGCAGCAAGGTGGTCTATGATGACCATGAGAGCGAGGAGGACGACGAGGAGGAGGAGGAGAGCGCCCGCTCCGAGGGCCACAGGGACAGCGAGGAGGAGGAGGAGGACATGGGGGACATGGGGGACTCGGACTACCAGCACGACATGGAGGAGGAAGAGGAGGAAGAGGACATGGAGGAAGAGGAGGATGGCAGTTACTGCACCGACAGCAGCTTCAGGAGCCACAGCACCTACAGCAGCACCCCCGGTAACTAATAATAATCATATAATAATAATAATATAATAATATAATATTATACACACAGCACCTACAGCAGCACCCCTGGTAACTAATAATAATCATATAATAATAATATAATAATATAATATTATACACACAGCACCTACAGCAGCACCCCTGGTAACTAATAATAATCATCTAATAATATAATATATAATAATAATATATCATATATTATACACACAGCACCTACAGCAGCACCCCCGGTAACCTATAATAATAATAATATAATAATAATATATCATATATTATACACACAGCACCTACAGCAGCACCCCCGGTAACCTATAATAATAATATAATAATAATATATCATATATTATACACACAGCACCTACAGCAGCACCCCCGGTAACCTATAATAATAATAATATAATAATAATATATCATATATTATACACACACAGCACCTACAGCAGCACCCCCGGTAACCTATAATAATAATATAATAATAATATATCATATATTATACACACACAGCACCTACAGCAGCACCCCCGGTAACCAATAATAATAATAATATAATAATAATATATCATATATTATACACACAGCACCTACAGCAGCACCCCCAGTAACTAATTATATAATAATAATATATAATAATATCATATATTATACACACCCAGCACATACAGCAGCACCCCCGGTAAATAATATAATAATATATATAATAATATATCATACACACAGCAGCACCCCCGGAAACCAATATATAATAATAAAAATATATCATAACAATATATCATATATTATACACACAGCACATACAGCAGCACCCCCGGTAAATAATTATAATATATCCTATATTATACACACAGCTCATACAGCAGCACCCCCGGTAAATAATTATAATAATATATCATACACACAGCTCATTCAGCAGCACCTCCGGTAAATAATTATAATAATATATCATATATTATACACACAGCTCATACAGCAGCACCCCCGGTAAATAATTATAATAATATATCATATATTATACACACAGCTCATACAGCAGCACCCCCGGTAAATAATATAATATATAATAATAATAATATATACACAGCACCTACAGCAGCACCCCCAGTAAATTATAATAATAATACTATATATAATAATAATATATACACAGCACCTACAGCAGCACCTTCGGTAAATAATAATATATAATAATATCTGTATATATATCACACACACACACAACACCTACAGCAGCACCCCCGGTAAATAATAATAATTATATAATAATTCATATATCATAATATACACGCAGCACCCCCGGTAAATAATATAATATATAATAATAAATCATTTATATACACAGAACCTACAGCAGCACCCCCGGTTGTTAATACTAATTATAATAATATATCATATATACACAGTACCTACAGCAGCACTCCTGGTAAATAATTTTATATATATTAATTCAGCAATGACCAGGTGCCTCTCCGTGCAAAATATACAAATGGAACAAATTGAGAGCACTCATTGGATTTAATAAACAAAAAAATATATTAAATCAAACCCATATAAATCAACGTTTCGACCGTCTAGCGGTCTTTATCAAGATAAAGATATCATCTTGATAAAGACCGCTAGACGGTCGAAACGTTGATTTATATGCGTTTGATTTAATATATTTTTTTGTTTACTAAATCCAATGAGTGCTCTCAATTTGTTCCATTTGTGTGTGTGTGTATATATATATATTACACACACACAGCACCTATTGCAGCAGCTCTGGTAAATAATAATATATCATTTATATTCACAGCACCTACAGCAGCACCCCAGGTAAATAAAAATAATATAACTTATAATATCTCGTGTATATACGGCACCTACAACAGCACCCCAGGGTAAACAATGTATGATATATAATTATAAATGTCATATATACACAGCACTTACAGCAGTCCCCCTAGTAGTAATAATAATATATTGTAAAATGTGTGTACACAGCACCTACAGCAGCTCACCGGGTAAATAATATGATGTACATCATATACTGTATGTGCACAGACAGCAGTACCCCTGGTAAATGATAATATATAATGTGTGTGTGTGTGTGTATATATATATATATATATATATATATATATATACACCAGCACCTACAGCAGCACCCTGGGTAATAATATTATAATATATATCATATCATTTATATACCAGCACCTACAGCAGCACCCCGGGTAATATAATTTATGCAGCAGCACCCTGGGTAATAATATAATATATATCATATAATTTATATACCTGCAGCACCCTGGGTAGTAGTAATATATATCATATTTATATACCAGCACCTACAGCAGCACCCTTGGTAATAATATTATAATATATATCATATAATTTATATACCAGCACCTACAGCAGCACCCTTGGTAAAAATATATATCATATAATTTATATACCAGCACCCTTGGTAATAATATTATAATATATATCATATAATTTATATACCAGCACCTACAGCAGCACCCTGGGTAATATTATATATCATATTTATATACCAGCACCTACAGCAGCACCCTTGGTAAAAATATATATCATATAATTTATATACCAGCACCTACAGCAGCACCCTGGGTAATATTATTATAATATATATCATTTATATACCAGCACCTACAGCAGCACCCTTGGTAATAATATTATAATATATATCATATTTATATACCAGCACCTACAGCAGCACCCTTGGTAATAATATTATAATATATATCATATAATTTATATACCAGCACCTACAGCAGCACCCTGGGTAATAATATTATATATCATATTTATATACCAGCACCTACAGCAGCACCCTGGGTAATATTATAATATATATCATATAATTTATATACCAGCACCTACAGCAGCACCCTGGGTAATATTATAATATATATCATATAATTTATATACCAGCACCTACAGCAGCACCCTGGGTAATATTATTATAATATATATCATATTTATATACCAGCACCTACAGCAGCACCCTTGGTAATAATATTATAATATATATCATATTTATATACCAGCACCTACAGCAGCACCCTTGGTAATAATATTATAATATATATCATATTTATATACCAGCACCTACAGCAGCACCCTTGGTAATATTATAATATATATCATATAATTTATATACCAGCACCTACAGCAGCACCCTGGGTAATAATATTATATATCATATAATTTATATACCAGCACCTACATCAGCACCCTGGGTAATATTATAATATATATCATATAATTTATATACCAGCACCTACAGCAGCACCCTGGGTAATATTATAATATATATCATATTTATATACCAGCACCTACAGCAGCACCCTGGGTAATATTATAATATATATCATATAATTTATATACCAGCACCTACAGCAGCACCCTGGGTAATATTATTATAATATATATCATATTTATATACCAGCACCTACAGCAGCACCCTTGGTAATAATATTATAATATATATCATATTTATATACCAGCACCTACAGCAGCACCCTTGGTAATAATATTATAATATATATCATATAATTTATATACCAGCACCTACAGCAGCACCCTTGGTAATATTATAATATATATCATATTTATATACCAGCACCTACAGCAGCACCCTTGGTAATAATATTATAATATATATCATATAATTTATATACCAGCACCTACAGCAGCACCCTGGGTAATAATATTATATATCATATTTATATACCAGCACCTACAGCAGCACCCTGGGTAATATTATAATATATATCATATAATTTATATACCAGCACCTACAGCAGCACCCTTGGTAATAATATTATAATATATATCATATAATTTATATACCAGCACCTACAGCAGCACCCCTGGTAATAATAATAATAATTATTATTATTATTATTATTATTATATATATATAACCAGCAGCACCTCTGTTAATATATGCATATACACCTTTTGTAATACATCATACCTACTATACCAGCAGCACCTTGGCTCCTCCGATAATATGTACATGTTTTGTTTCTCTCAGGATGGTGGTTTGATCCTTTTTTTTGTTTTTCTCTGTTTTCCCTCTGTAAATAGTCTCTAAATCTTTTTTGTATTTCTAAGAATTTATTTAAAAGATTCAAGATCTTTATGAAGTACTCGTATTGACTGTATTGGAATTTCATTTAAATTTTAATTGCAGTGAACAGATTTCATAAGTCTCTTATTAGTTCATTGAGAGGTGTTCCTCCTAATTAAATAATAGAGTGGGAGGGGCTATACCCATCTGTAGTGCTGCCATCGATATATCCAGGAAATGTTTATAGTAAATGTCTAAGTTGGCAAAACTGAACACTAGGTGGCGCTGTCAAGTTTTGTCAGTTTACCCAGCTATTGCTACCAACCGCTATGGTAAACATACGTAATCTCGCTCATTGCAAGACATTGTCTGTGGAGACTCCCAAGGTCTCATAGGATCCTCCATAGACCTCAGTGTTGTACTGTTGCACATGCGTTAGAGTACAGCATTGACAAGACTTCTGGTGGATGAACCTCCACTATCAGAAGCAAGCAGATGGCAATGTGTACAGGGACTACTTCATGTAAATATAACTTCTTTCTCCTCCACCCACGGGCCCTTACACACCAAGCATGCTTGTCGCCATCAAGTGTCTTCACAAAATATATAAAAAAAATACACTTTTAAGGAACCTTAGCGGTAGGAATTCACACACATATTCCTAAAGCTGGAGTTTTATACTATTTAGATTCCACAACCCCCAGGGAGTCTGAGGGTTCTTCGCAGTATTTTAGCTGTTTTTTTAACTGCACATGTCTGGCCAGCAATCTGATGTCCCAACTGGAATCTGCTGACATTTCTCCTCTAACTTGGGGGTCATAGCCCCTAGTGCTCCTATCACAACTAGAACTACTACTGACTTCACCTTCCACATCCTTGGTAGCTCCTCTTTGAGTTCTTGTTATTTGTCCATCTTCTCATGTTCCTTGTTCCTGATGTTATAGTCACTGGGTATTGGCACATCCACCCCCACTGCAGTCTTCCGTTCCTTCTCTACCACCACGATGTCAGGCTGGTTGGCCACTACTTGCGTCGACTATGTGCTGGATTGTTTTAGAAGCCTCTTTGCACACACTCTCTGAAACAATCCAGCAAATAGTAGTCGGGTGCAAGATGTTAGCAGGGACAGCATACATAGAGAGGCACAACCAAGTTGCTGAAATGTATAATATGTAAAATCATTCCCCCCCCCCCCCATTCGCTTCAGAAATGACTTCTGTAAACAATAAAGATTTGCATAATTTTTGCCAAACTCAGAATTTTATTGTTCTTGCTGAGCTTAATCCAAGTAATTGCATCTAATACAGAAGCATTGATAAAAAGCGCGTTTGCGACTGTCCATACAGTTGACCAATTAATGCTTGTGAGAGAAGAGAAGATGGGTTGTGTGACAGCCGTTTGGGAGTGCACACAGCACCCATTCTTTGCATGATTTTCTGTCCAGTTTGTCATTGAAGCTCTGAGAAGCATGCATTTAATGGAGGGGATGGGGTTATGACATTCAGTCATAATTCTGTTGGCGCCATATAAATGGCAATAATAATAATAATTCTGCCTCTCTGGGCACTCATTGTACTCCACTGAGAAGCATGCAGAGTGATGCTTGCTAAAATACGTCTCTGATTATTCCACAGACAGCAGTTGCTCTGTTTGGATCATTGGCAGCAGCTTGATCCATATATACAGATATTATAAGACCAATTAGGGACTATTTAATCTTGTGGGCAAAGTCAAGGTTGATAAAAGGCAGAGCTTTTGCTGTCAACTCTTGTTACTTCCCACAGTTATTGCTAGTGATGTCTAAGGAAAATGAACATATTGCAAGAGTGGGTCATGCTGGAGGATACCCTATAGACCTTGTGCACAAGAGTACAGCCATGACACGCCAAGAGCTGAAGATAGAATATAAGGGAGACCATCAGGTGAGTATGTCTACCATTAGCTTCAATCTGTGGCTACTGCACACAAAGCGCAAAATATGTAAAGATTTCTGAAATTGACCGAGCTGGTTTTAAAGGGACATTGTAAGAACCAAAACTACTATATTTTAATGTAGCAGTTGTGGTGCACAGACCATGTCCTTGGCAACAGCAATGTTTACATTTGCTAAATTTGACAATCAGTATGTCTTTATTGGCTGTCATCAGGAAGGAAGGAATTGCCACTCATATAATAAATGATACCAGGACAGCCACTAGAGGCTGAGTTGGCAGTTGCTGCAAATGTCTGGGAGGTCCCAATCGTTCTTTCCGAGAAGCATTGGGTTGACATAAGATCGTCTGTCAGGATGCTCTTCGGTAAGATAAGCAACTGCTGCGTCAAGACAGGGACGAGATTGGATAATGGGTGACTTTTACAGCGTTACTTCAGTTCAACAGCGGGGACCAGTAAAGTAAACAAGCAGAGGAACATGCTAACGTAAATTAAATTATTTAATAATTAAGTCAGAATGTTCCTTTACGCTAGGCTTTACCGCCATTATATCATCGTAGCAAAGCAGACTATATGAACATATACCAAACTTGTCACTATATATTTTTTCTCATAGTTTTCTTTTCTTCATTTTTTCTAATCAGCGAATAATTGTGTGCTTAATGGTGATCATTGGCCACATTAATTGTTCAGTTATGGTTCCTGTGGTACAGTGTTGCCGGAGCTCAATGTTGCAAGAGATTGCAAGCTGCAACATTTTGTGCCTGCTGTAAAACCATTTAGACATCTGTACAGGGAACATCACTTTAAGGGAGTGCTTTTCATCTTTGGGCTAGGTATGGACATGTAATGTATTGCTTGGCAGCAGAGCTGGCCCTTTAGCAGGGTCATTATAAAAGAGGACAGCGGTAATGTTTATTGCACAGCTGTAGTAAGTATAAGTGGGAATCTGTGGTTACACTTTGTTTTACACTAGAGCTTAATAGTATTTTTTTCAAGTCAGCATTTCTACTTGCAGTCTTGAATCTGTGTTTTATCTCATTATGTAAAATCTATCCTTTCTGTGTTGCCATGGCAATGCCGAAAAATGGAAGGAGGTCAATTAATATGGCTAGTTATGTTTTCATTATACAGTGCAAAAGAAATGGACTGTTTCTAAACGCATAATCTACAGACTGATTGTCCACATAACCCCGTTGAATCATCAGAGCTGAAAATCATGGCGCCCCTCCTACTTCTCAGTGCAAGCTTTTATGGTTCTTTTCTTTAAGCTGCCACACTTTCACAGTCGAAAAGTTTTGTGCCACTTTCTTGATGTTGTCCATATTGAAGTCATAAACAGATATATTTAAAAGTATAGCTCTGATTACATAAATTACATAGGGAGTTAAAAAACATTGTGCCGTGCTTTCACAGTTTTTGAATGGTTTAACAATGAAGAAGGGTCTCTGGCCACTCAGTCGGCCTCTGTCTACATTAGCAAAAGCTGTGATGGGTCGCTCTCCATTTATCACTGCTGCCCGTCGCTGGTAAGGCTAAGGCGGAGGATATTCTTCTTTAACCATACACCCCATGGCGGCGGAACCACAGGCATTAGAGGCCCCTCATTCAGTGTTAAACGGTTTAATGCTGAAACGTTGAATGGTGCCAGGGATCTCCAGGCACCATGTATACTTTAATGAGATTAAGTGTTTATGGTGCTTAGAATGTCCCTTTAACTGAAGCTATAAATCTACCAGTAGTGTGGAAGACTAGTTCACATGCAGATGTGTGTGTATATATAGATAAAACGTATACGGTGCTGACAGCGTTGCCAGCAAAAGCTTAGATCAAAAATATTAAAGATCTTGCCTGAAGATTGCTCCCTGCAGATGTCCTGCACACGCAGGGCACCCTAAACTACACATATTGTATCACATACATAATCACTCCTGTTCCAGCCTAGCTAATGCTGCCATGGTGTTACACCACTGGCCTCACGGGGTTAAACTTTGTGTGTGCTAATACAGGCACTTCAAATCACTGAAGTGGTCATGGTGCTTGCAGTAACCATTTTGGTTATTAAAAAAACAAGAAAAATCTGCATATCAGTGTGTGTTGCTGATGAGATGTTGGAGTGGCTAGTTATGCATTTGCTTTTTTGAGTGGCTATTTTGATGTTTAAGAAGCTGTGTGAACATGGCTAGCTACACATGTTTGTGAGTGCATATAAAAATAGTTGTTTAACCCCTTAAGGACACATGACATGTGTGACATGTCATGATTCCCTTTTATTCCAGAAGTTTGGTCCTTAAGGGGTTAAATGTTTGTGTGTCAATATGTTTAGGCCCTGTCTCTTAGATTTTGGGGAAGTTTGTCAAACCTTACATTACTTATAAAAAAAAAATGTGGCTGCCATGTCCTTTTATGCAAGCAACCATCTTAGAGCATAGAAAGTACCTGCAAGTTTGTAGAATAGTGTAAACAACATAAATGGCACTCTACAATAATCTTTATTGGTAGCAGACATTGGAATAACACGAACAAGCTAAGGTCAGAATTACAAAGAGCAAAACAAACCATGAGGCAAACTGCGTTGATAAGGAGCACCTGGAATTAATTTTCAAATAGCAAAAATAAATAAGATGAAGGCATTATAGAGAATGAGACATGCAGAGGCCCACACCACTTGGTATCAATTAGGAATTAAAGGGATACTATGGGCACCCAGACCACTTCAGCTCATTGACGTGGTCTGGGCACAGTTTCCCTTTTGCCCTTAGTCCTGCAATGTAAAACATTGCAGTTTTTGAGAAACTGCATTGTTTACTCTGCAGCAATAAGAAAGCCACTAGAGGTGCTTCTGGCATTTTACCGGACTTGTTCTTTAACGGATGCTGGACATCCTCAGGCTCTGCATGAGGACATCTAGCGTTTGTGAAAACTCCATCGGAAAGCATTGATTCCAATGGGGGGGGGGGGGTGAGGTTTAAAATAATTGTTCTCCCAGCACCTCTTCAGGTGCACTGATTATGTAGAATTTACACATTGTGATTTCATCACACCAGGATGGCAATGATGGGGCAGATTGAATTTTCATAAGCTGATCTTGCTGGTCCATAGTGTAGCACTCTTTGATAACATGCCACTGCTCTCTAGTACACGATTTCTGTAAACGATTAACCTGAAAAGCTCGGCATAATCCTGTGATGGGAATTAAGTGATCATATTTACAGGGTTATTCGCTAAAGGGACAATTCAAAGTGAATTTCAAATTTAAGGCCAAAATAGCCGAACTGAAAACATTCTCCAAGTCGACTATGCTTTCAGTTTGGCTACTCTGGTCTTAACATTTAAATTCACTTTGAATTCTAACTTTAGTAAATCCTGTGTGTGTGTGTTCCCTTGTTTCTATCACCCTCTTTTCTTAGGGAATCGTAGCTCAGTGCTAGCTCCGCTCTGATCTTTAAAGGTACGGAAAGGTGACAGATTGCAGATCACACTTTCTCTTTGATGAAAAGTTACTTTCATGCCAGACTTCAAGATGAAAACAGTGACACATACGTTTGTGACATAGAATTTTACGTTTGTTTGGATTCTGATGCAGTGTCTGTATTTTTATGTATTTAACTGAGGGGTCTACGATCTCAGAACATGCTGCTGCTACTAGTTTTGTAAATAGGGATTTACAGTGTTTGCTCTGTTCGCGGACTTTGCATGCGATCGATGTCGCTCACTCAGAGCTGAAGAGCAGATAGCAAGTTTCATGGTGTTTGCCTACCCAGCAACTTCACACGGTACTGAAATTCTGAATGGAATAGGAAGTAAATTTTACCCGTTTCATTTCAGCAGGAGATGTCCAGTCTTGTAGTTGCAGGATTTTGCACGTGTGAGACCTAGAAGGAAGGATATGTTCTTTTGGCCTTGAAGATCTGAGTACCAGTGGCTGTGCATTATATAGCGACACCTGAGAATGTAGAATTATGTTACTGTGCTTTGTATATCGGAGCCTGAGAGATTCCTTCTCTTTCTTGCTGTAATTACCTTGCATGCTTTTCAAATGATGGACGAATGGCACTATGATTGGAGTTGTGCTTGCTAAGCATCTTTACGTGTTTTATGAGTTAGTGGCTGCTGCGTAATCCCTGAAACTGCTAATTAAAATTTCCTCTATTTTTTTTTTTATTTTTTTTTCCCTTCCCTTTTCTTACTTTACACGTTTTGCCATCAAGCAACAGCCTAAATGTTTGGTGTGCCATTTTACACACACTCTATAAATTTCTGTGCGACCTAGAATTGTCCAAAGACTTAAGTGTCTCTGCCTGTCCTTAAATTCCTTTGCATTATCCTTGTTCTTTTATCATTCCCCTTTATTTTTCACAGTGTTCTTTTTTGCTTTTGTCACTAACCTCCTTAATCGCCATTTTTTACTTTCTTTGCTTCTGCTGCTGTTGAGATGCTTCCCAACCCATGGCCCCCTTCTTTGACTCTGCTGGCAGGAACAGCTCTAGTCTTCACTTTGCTGAGCTGTCTGAATGCTTGCTCTGTCTGTAATATAATTAATATGTTCTCTCATTATAACATGGCTTTTCCCCTTTGAAACTGACAGTCCTGCTTCACTGTCTCATGGTGGCATTGAGCTATGTGCCCACATTCCTTGAGAAAGTAAAGTTGGTGGTTTAAGTAGTCTTATAGCCACACACATATATGTTACATTATTTTTCTGACTACTTCTGTTTCTATCACACCCTATGAAGTTCTTACTATCCACATATTCCACCTGTGCTTCCAGCTGCTATCTCCCAATCATGCTGGGTTTTGGTTGTTCTCGTCTCTCTTCGATTATTTTATAGTCTCTCTTCTCAGCCCCTTTCTCATTCTTGGGGAATTCTGCACAACTCATTAACTGAATATCTATGCTTCATGTATCAATCTGACAGTCACCAGTTCTACCTTCTCAAGGGATCCCTAGACCAGATTTAAACAGTGAAAACAGAAATCGAAGTGCCACTTGGGTAAAGCCATATGACATCTGTATGGCTGCCTTGTTCTATGCCTTACGTCATCGTATCAGACTTTCTCTTAACCTCGCACCATGACCACTACAATTCATATGTATGAATGAGTTTGGGCCTCACCCCCAGGTTTTAGTTTAACCCGTTTGGAACTTTTTGATATCCAACCCCTGTGCATTGCTCAAAACTGCAGTGATTTGCAGAGTGATGAAGGAAAATAAACCATCACAGTTAGAATTCTGTATTTTTCTTTTTTTCTTTTTTTTTTGCCATTGGGTCCAGGTGTAGTGTGCCAAGACTTTGACAAAAACAAGGACTTTACTATAACAGATGATCCTCCTGAAGCAATAGGGTAGTTTTAAAAAGACCAATTAAAATAATTCTGAATCTGCATATTTTTGTTTGTTCATTATCTCTTTTAGAATGTTCTTCCAGTTTGTACTGCTGGCTAATACTTTATTTGGTTTACTGACAGTTTTTTCTTTTTCTGTTAATAGGACGGCGAAAACCCAGAATCCATCGTCCACGTTCACCGATATTTGAAGAGAAAGATATCCCTCCTTTGGAATTACCCAAGTCCTCAGAAGATCTGCTATTACCAAATGAGCACTTGCTGAATGTCATTGCCATCTATGAGGTGCTGAGGAACTTTGGCACGGTGTTACGACTATCTCCTTTCCGCTTCGAGGACTTTTGTGCTGCTCTAATGAGTCAAGAGCAATGCACACTGATGGCAGAGACTCACGTGGCACTTCTGAAAGCTGTTTTACGAGAAGAGGACACTTCAAATACTACCTTTGGACCCGCTGACCTTAAGGATAGTGTTAATTCCACTTTATACTTCATTGATGGTATGACATGGCCTGAAGTTCTAAGAGTGTATTGTGAGAGTGACAAGGAATACCATAATGTGCTTCCGTTCCAAGAGGTGGATGACTACCCGTATGGACCAATAGAAAGTAAAGTGCAGGTTCTGCTTTTTTTAGTGGATCAATTTCTAACTACAAACATGGCCCGTGAGGAGTTAATGTCGGAAGGGGTTATTCAGTATGACGACCATTGCCGTGTTTGTCACAAACTGGGGGATTTACTGTGCTGTGAGACATGCTCTGCCGTTTACCACTTAGAGTGTGTGAAACCGCCGCTAGAGGAGGTGCCAGAGGACGAATGGCAGTGTGAGGTCTGCGTGGCCCACAAAGTGTCAGGTGTAAATGACTGTGTTGCTGAAATCCAAAAAAATAAACCCTACATCAGGCATGAGCCCATTGGCTACGACAGACACAGGAGGAAATACTGGTTTCTGAACAGGCGAATTATTGTGTAAGTTTACAGTGTTTGAATTTGGCGTGCTGTCATCAATTACTACTTAACTGTGCATAGTAGCTTGTAAATAGTCAGTGTGGTGACTTTTTCCCATGGCTAGTATTTAGTATGTGTTTAATGAGGGAACACTTAGCTACTTTTTTAACAGGGAATATATCTTGATCTTCATGTTAGAAATTTGTGTATTCATTCAGCAGTAGAGTTCAGTTTCTGATTGTTAATGACCCAGTTTAATCTGTTAAGTGCTATCTTCTGGACAGTTTGTGCTAGATCTCCTGGCCGTAAGGGTAATGTTTACAGGACTCAATTATCCACGCACCCTCACTGGCATATGTAAATTTAGCTCTGGTAAGAGCATTTCCAATTACCGTGTCCGCGTACCAAACGTGAGTAGCCCGGAAAGCGGACAGGTGGTTTCTTGTTCCTGGAGGTTAATGACACCTGTCTGTGGTGTGAAGCACAGCAGCACCGGCTGATCCTAATCCTGTTACAAGAGGCACAGCTACCGGGCAGCTCTCCCTGGGGTGATCCACTCTGTCATATCCTGAGTCCTATTTTATTGCAGTCGGCCACAATGGAGCTGTGTGACTGCTCCCTTTAGGAACATGGTTGAGGACCACCTCTCTGGTAAACAGAAATAAATGGGGGAAAGAGAGCAGGGGAAAGGAAAATTATACCCCCTGGATCCACATACAGCAATACATTTATTTACACACACAGTGATTACTCTCTTTTTTCTGGGGTTGCGGCTCGTGTGATGGGTTTTCCATTCAGGGGAGAAAAACTTAAGCTGTAAGCCCATAAGCACTCACTCCATTGCCGTATTGATCGAGCTCTTTAGATTTTCATAACCCTGAGACCTCTCTGTCCATCACTAGTTTGCCATTTATCATATGCACTACTGACATGCATGATAAATCCCCACTGAGAAGGGCTGTTTGCTCATTCACTATCCTTTTGCAGCACGACGTTCTCTTACATTGAAATGCATTAATAAATGGGAGCTAGTTGTGCCTGCCTTCACTCATGAGTTTGGTAGCTCAGTGAAAGAAAATGCGGAGTCCAAGCTGGGATAAACATGAGTAGATGCTATAGACCTTTCAAATGGATATTTGCAATATCCCATTATCGCATATTCCACTAGTTAGTGAGAGATTGGAGATGGGGCTTTACTGCAAAGTCATTATTTACATCAATTTGACCAACTTTTGACATTAACCATGAGTTTTGAAAAATACTAAAGTTGTCCAAATTATTTAACTTGACTGTCTTTCAGGTTTGAATGTCTAATGGACTTTGTACCCTCCTGAGTGGGTTAGAGGCAATTAGACTGGTCAAGAGGTAGCCTTGTGTTTAAAGGGACACTATAGTCACCAGACCCACGACAGCTAATGTAATGGTTATGGTGTCTGTAGCTTGTCCCTGCAGGCTGAGCAATGCAAATGCTGTCTTTTCAAAAACAATGCAGTGTTTTACATTGCTGGTTAGTAAAATCTCTAGTAGCAGTCACTCAGACTGCCGCTAGAGGTGTTTCTTGTGTCAATGCTGCACTGTGTGCATCATTGGCGTTCTGCGTCTCCACGCTGAATATTCCCCATAGAGATACATGTATTCAGTGAATTTCTGTGTGGAGATTCTCATTGCTGTGCATGCACAATTGCCTCTCAGTGCTTTCTTATGGAAAAGCATTGGATTGGCCAAGATCATCAAGATGATCCGCTGTTGTGGCGAAAAGAGGAGTAAAATAGCCTTTTCACTCCACAGAAAGGGTACCGGGGACCTAAACCTTAATTCCAGAACTATAGTGTTAGGAATACAAACATGTAGTGTTCCTTTAAAGCATCAACTCTCTCCCACAGCCATTCACCAGACAGGTTAACTGGCTGCAATCAGAGAACTTTATCTGTATTTGCAGACATTGTTGGTAACCTAGTTAGGGATCTTCTCATCCATAACAGAGAGAAATATATTTCACTGCAACTATTAGTGAGAGACTGAGCAGCGTAATGGCCTGCTAACATCACACTGAATTGTAGAGATCCTCTTGTGGGAATAAAAATGAAGTAATAGGAAAGTGCTGTCTTCTAACGGTTAATAATGGGAAGGCTGAAACATTCAGGCTCTTTGTTCTTTCAGTATTCCTTTCCTGCTGCAAGGCACATTTATTGAAACGCATGTTGGGTGATTTAGCAAGGTGATGGTCAGTGTAAACACCTGCCATTGTCCAAACTCAATCTGTTAGATAATTTTATACAGAAAAGCATACAAGAATATTTACAGCTCTTTTCCCCTTACTTTTACTGGAGTCCCTTGTGTGTGTACTGCAAATGCAGCAAAGAAAGCTATGGCCCTGAAAATAGCAATTGTTATTTCGAGCCATAGGTTCCTTTCTGCCCACCCCCTTTTGCAGCTAAAAATAAAAGTTTAAAAGAGATTACTTGCCTCCTTTCCAGTGCTGGGAGTCCTCTGCTGTATCCTCCAGCTCTGGTGATATCCTCTTCCAAGCTGACATCACCATCAATTCTATTACTTTTCTTAGGGAAACATTGGATGGGAGATCTACATGCATGGCGAAATTTAGGATTCCTCCAATCAAATGCTGTTCTTAGCGACATTTCATTCCCAGACTATTTTACATGGTTCTGGAGGAGAAAGCTGTCACTAGGTGTCTGTTTAACCCTAATATAACTCCAGTGTTTCACACTGCAGGGTTAAAAGGACAGGGCTGCTGAACCCAGACCACCTCATTGAGATGAAGTGGTCTGGGCGACCATTGTGTATCCTTAATGGTGGCGCATATATATATATATGCACTGTACTTCCTAAAGCAGAGAGGTTGCTGCAAAACTGCAAAAAAATGGTATTCACAAAAAAGAAAAAAAATCTCTACATATTTTAAATGTAGATATAACATATAAATTAGGTGGCACACTGCACTATGCAAATGGTGTTTTGGAAACTTCCCATGTATGCAGAAATCCGAACTGTGGCTCATGTGTAATCCTTTAATATTTGCTTATATTTGCAGGTGTTACCTACCAGTCAGGGTGCCCTTCTCTTACTGTGAAGCTCCATGTGTGAGACCATGAGTGGATTTGTCCTTACAGCACTTTATCTGATTACAAATGACACCATCACTCTCTCACACATGAAACAACTGTAGAGTTAATATACTGAACTGCTAATTAGGAAGATTTGACCAGGGATTTACAAATTGTAAGCCAATGATCTGTGAATTGTTTTAGCCTGAAATTTGCCTTACATGACTCCTGTGTGCACCAATGGGTGATGCATAAACTGATCAATGAATACATTTCCTGTAAAATAGGTTTTTCCTTCCAGCTTTCTTGTGGTCTCCTGACATTTTTTAGCAAAATTGACAAAATAAGGCTAAAACAGACACCACCTATTGAGTCATTTAGAATGTGGCGCAGTAAATTTATAAAGCAGGGATCCTGTATCCACTACAACGGCTGTGGCCTAGGTTATCTCATGTTTGCTACCCCTGGCTCATTGTGTACTCGTGGTTTCTGCCCAGTTTGAAGTATCAGATCTTACTTTGCATGATGTCATTGTATGATTTAATCCCTGTTCACTACACAGTCTCCTATCCAGTTAGAGAACTGAAATAACGAAGGGACAAAGAATATATCTTTGTTTGACTGACAGGGTTATTCAATAAAGCATTGATTTTCAGAAATTCAACATCAGTTTCAAATTATTTGCCAGAGAAGCCAAACTAATAACACGGAAAACAAATTTTCCTAGCAATTTACCTTTACGTGATTAACCCAGAATTTCAGGTTTAACGTAAAAAATAACCAAACTGCTATATAGAATTGCCTTGGACAATTTTTAGAATGCCGCTATTATGTCATAAAATCACGCTGAATTCCTGTCAATTTTCATGTTGATGAATAACTTTGTGAGCCCAAAATACAGATGTATTTTACAGATGTGACACAATTTAAATGGTTACCTTGTCTCTATTTGAATCATTTATACAAAGCATTGATATTGAGTTAGGGGCTAATATTAATGAATGCAGATTTTAATTTTTTAATTGTTTGTTTTGTGAACACAATTAAGGTCTGAGATTATTTGTGATATGTGCTTAACATGTGTTGGATAATTTATTAGACTTAAAGTACTATATACTCTGTGCTTTGCATCCAGAGAAAAGAATTGTTTAAAATGTCAGAAATCGCATGAAACCTTTTTATATACTGTGTTTTTATACTTTTTTCTTAATGGTCTTTGTAATTTGTAAAATCAGTTTATTACTTGATGTAAACTTAAAGGACCACTATAGTGCCAGGAAAACATACTCGTACCCCCACCCTCAGGGTCCCACTCCTGTGGCAAGGAAGGGGTTAATCCCTTACCTTTTTTCCAGCGCCGGGGACTCTCCTCCATCTTCTTCTGTCATCGGCTGAATGCGCGGCAAGAGCCGCGCGCGCATTCAGCCAGTCCATAGGAAAGCATTCTCAATGCTTTCCTATGGACGCTGGCGTCTTCTCACTGTGAAAATCACAGTGAGAAGCACGGAAGTGCCTCTAGCGGCTGTCAATGAGACAGCCACTAGAGGCTCGATTAACCCATAGGTAAACATAGCAGTTTCTCTGCTCACTATAGGCACCCAGACCACTTCAGCTCAATGAAGTGGTCTGAGTGCCAGGTCCATCTAGGGTTAACCCTGCAGCTGTAAACATAGCAGTTTCTCTGAAACTGCTATGTTTACATATGGGTTAATCCAGCCTTTAGTGGCTGTCTCGCTGACAGCCGCCAGAGGCGCTTCCGCGCTTCTCACTGTGATTTTCATAGTGAGAAGATGCCAGCGTACATAGGAAAGCATTGAGAAATGCTTTCCTATGGACTGGCTGAATGCGCGCGCGGCTCTTGCCGCGCATTTAGCCGATGACGGAAGAAGAGGGAGGAGAGTCCCCAGCGCCAAGGGAGCCCGGCGCTGGAAGAAAGGTAAGGGATTAACCCCTTCCTCGCATTTGGCAATGCTTTCCTAATGACTGACTGTGCGTGCGGCTCTTGCTGCGCTTGCGCATTCAGCGAAAGAGGGAGGAAAGTCCCCAGTGCCGAGGGAGCCCGGCGCTGGAGAAAGGTAAGTGATTAGCCCCTTCCTCCCCCTAGAGCCTGGTTGGGGGAGGAGAACACCTATTAACACTATAGTGCTATAGTTTGTTTTCCTGGCACTATAGTGGTCCTTTAACCCCTTCAGGACGGAGTCAATAGTACACGTTCTGATCAAAACAAAATGTAAACAAAAACTGGTATTTGCGCTATTGTCACAAACACTGGTCAAAGTTAGCGTTCATATTTGTTTTTGTGTGAAAAAAGCAAAAAAACTAATATTTGGCCAGTGTTTGTGACTAAGTGGCTACTAAAAATGACTGGACATACCCCATTTGCAATACCTTGCGTTGTCTATTTTTTCAAATGGTATGCCATCATGGGGGTAATTCTTATTCCTGGGCTACCATATGGTCTCAAATGCAACGTAACCAATCTGGCAAATTACAATGTGAAAAAAATGAAATGCAAGCCTTTTATTTGACTCTCTAACTTTCCAAAACACCATAAAACCTGTACATGGGGGGTACTGTTATACTTGGGAGACTTCACTGAACACAAACATAAGTGTTTTCAAAACAGTAAAATTTATTACAACAATAATATCGTCAGTAAAAGTGCCGTTCGTGTGTGAGAAATGCAAAAAAGTAACTTTTACCAAATACATCATTGTTGTAATACAATTTATCATTTTGAAACTCTAATATTTGTGTTCAGCAAAGTCTCCTGAATAAAACAAATTTATTATTTTATTGATTTACTATTGTAATTATACATGTGTATGTATATATATATAAAACATAAAATATATATATGTATTATATAATATATATATCTTATATATGTAACGTAATTCTAAGTGTATTTTAATATTAATATATGTACTTATATTAACATTAAAATACCTTACGTATCACGTTACACACACATATATATATATATACATTTAATTTATTTTAAAACATGTTTTTTTTTGTTTGTTTTTTTTTTTTACTTTCCCACCAGCAGGGGGACTGTCTGACATTTCAGACAGTCCCCCTGCTGGCAGATCCACAGCCAGCTATAGGGGGCCATGTGATCGCTCTTTGAGAGCGATCACATGGCCCCTGGGGGACTCATTGGCTGGTGGGGAGGGGGGGAGCTGCCTGGGCTGTCAGGCAGCCCTCCAGAAAAGGTAAGTCCACCGGAGCGTCTGGGGCCGAAAGCCGTTATTGCGTTCTATGTCACCGCAACGGCTTTAAAGCCCATTTAATGCTGGACGGCATAGAACGGCGTTAAGGGGTTAACTAGTGAACTCAACTCCCTTAATGCTCTGCTATCCTGTTTATGTTGCAGAGAATCATTGGTTACAAAGTATTCCGTTTCAGTAGTAAAAACCAAAATGTTAATACTTTAAACCTGGGTGCTTTTCATGTTTAAGCTTTTGCCACTTCTTTCCCTCACTTGTCCATTCACTTTATTTCTTGTGTTGTGTTCAGAGAGGAGGATTTAGAGACGACCAAGAGAATCTGGTACTATAGCTCCAAACTTCAGCTTGCGGAGTTAGTGGAGTGCCTTGACACGGATTACTGGGAATCTGACCTCTGCAAGACCCTGGAGGAAATGCAAGAGGAAATACACAAACATATGGACATAACAGAAGATCTAACCAATAAAGCACGCGGCAACAACAGATCCTACCTGTCTGTGGTGAATGGTACGTGGCTGCAGGGACACACACATGGATCAGGTCACCATTAGCCCAGTGCTGCTATAGGATATGTGGATTTAAATTTGTATTGTTTGTCGTTTCTCTTGTAGATTTTAAGGAGACATATTATTTCATAGTTAAATAACTGTAAACGGGAATTAAAGTAATTTAGTTACAAAATGTAAACAAAGCTAAATATTACATTTGTTGCCCACAATTTGGAATTGTTTAATCTTACATGAATGTGATAGACCCTAATTTGTGCAGTCTGTTAAAGGTGCATTCCATACAAACACAATCTTTTGGGTTTTTTCAGTTGGTGGCTTAAAAATTAGCTGTATTTTATTACAAATTTGGTTATATATATATATATATATATATATATATATATATATATATATATATATATATATATATATATATATATATATATATATATATATATATATATATATATATATATATTTTTTGCAATTAAAACAAATGTTTTTGGTGCATCTTAACCATACCGCTTGTCCACCCTCAACCTTTCTAAATATATTACATCTTTGCTTTTTAGTGTTATATGTTTGCTTAGAATCATTGTTTTTGAGTGGTCAGCACATGTATTCATGCTTTCTTTGCTTTAAAAAATTAAAAAAAAATTTACACAGAAGAATTAATGGAACATGTGAAGGCCAAACAAGGTGAAACAGAAGAAAACAACCCCTCAGAAGACAATAAGACTGGTGAAAAAACTGCTGAGACAGACACAGACAAGAGCAAGGAGCAGACACCGGATGCCAAGCAAGACGCAAGTAAAGAAGATCCCAAACCAGCAGCAGAACCTGAGAAAACAGACCTGGAGGGTGAGTAAGCACACTTGGTTATTTGGGACCCTGATAGTGTTAGAATGGAATGTTAGTCAGATTTGTTCTCCACTTTGGCTAGATTCACAATTACTGATAGATTCTGCCCAAAGGCTGTTCTTAGTGTAAAACAACAAAATAACATCCTTGTTTTGCAAAACATTTTTTTGTGTGGTTTTCTCTGGTTTATAGTTAGTTTTCCAAATATAGGTCCAAGATAGTTTCATGCTCCCAGTCTGTCATATCACCCTATCCAAATACAGTAATTAACGTGTCTCAATACAGAGCCAGATGGTGGTAAGAAAACCTCAGACGAGGCTATTCCTGCGGATAGTGGCAGCTTTAAGACCCCTGTGAAAGATGCAGAGCCTCTCACTAAGGAATCTGCTGGAATTCCAGAAGATGGAATTAAAGTGAATGAGGGTGAGACACCCACAGCCACCCCAGGTAAGAAGCTATCTGGTGCAGTATTTGTTTTTTTTTGCTATAGGTATAGTAATTAGTCTATAAGCTCTATGGGACATTGAATTAAAGGGACACTATAGGCACCCAGACTACTTCATCTCATTGATGTGGTTTGGGTGCACTGTCTGTCTCCCACTTAGTCCTGCAATGTAAATCATTGCAGTTTTCGAGAAACTGCACTAATTACTTTGCAGGACTAAGACTGCCTTAGTGGCTGTCTATCAGACACGCACTAGAGGTGCTTCCAGGATTCTAAGGGAGTCTGGGTCCCCTAAATGACGCTGGACATCCTCACTCTGTGCATGAATACTTCCAGATTTGTATTCCTAACACTATAGTATGCCTTTAATATTCTAATGCATATTTCTATGTAACCACACTTACTATATCCTCATCTACTGTAGTGTTGTCTGTGATATTAATGATTACTCACAATGACACGCATTGAATAATTCATAAAACAAGAAGTTCTGTATCCTCGATTATCACTTTTGTACAGACAGGGTCAGGGGAGCAGGTACATCCGCTCCAGCTTGCTCTAATTTACTGCTCAAAGACCACAACTTCTCAAACTGTGACAGGTGATTCTTTTGAGAAACGTGGTTTGTTTGGCCATTAAGTGGAGCCTCCTGGTGGATATTCTCAGTACTGATACATTAGTCCTGCCTTGCAAGTACATTAGACAGTGCAGATTAGTTGTGAGTTTTCTATTTTTAATATATTTGTGAATGTTAAAGTATTTTCTAATAGTGTTCCTTGCATTAATCTATTCTTATCCAATGCATTTTTTTTCCCTGTGATATGGAATGCAGTTGCTCCAGTCTCCAATGTGAGTCTTTCTGGTACACAACTGTCCAGCAACGAAGACAGCAATACCATACAGGAACAGCGAGGATTGCTACAAGAGTCCAACAAACCGGTCGACGGTGCAGAGAGTCTAACAAAAACATCCCAACCATCTCCTTCCAAGCAGGAAGACTTGGGTAATGTCCCTATAGCCACAGATTAACTATGTCTGTTGGTGCATACAATCACTGCATGTCCTAGACTGAAGATGTTTGTGTATGTGTTGATCTGATTTAGAATGGGGACCACTATGTTTTTGCATGTATTATATCTGGTTGATATAATGATGCAAAAAGGCATAATGTAATGCATGTGTGTTTTTATTTGTGGTATATCTACTAAACAGTGCTTTGTATTTATTTCGTGTATTTGGACATTTGAAAAGTGATCCCCTATTAATATATTGATCCCCTGCAACAACAAAAATAGCTCACTACTTATTTGACCCCTGAGTGAGTGTTTTATAACTCCATTACTTTTTGTTTTCTGTACACATTAACATTAATGTGCATGTTATTAACCCTTCCGCTTCAGAGTTGTACCACTTTTCACTGCATATATTTATAACTCAAATTATATTATTCTCCCCATCATAATTTCCTCTTTTACATCACATGTCTCATCTCCTTAATACGGCCCCCTTGTACATTACCTTAACCTCTTTAAAAAAATGACAGAGCGGTTGTGTTGCATAGTAAATCATTTTAAACATCTTAAGAACAATAACCTTCTTTACCTGTCACAATTCTCTACTTTAAACAGCTATCCTCATCTTAACTCCCTCCTTGTTTGTTACACATCACAGCAACCATAATTTGATCACTTTTTGGCCACACTCTCTTTCATTTAATTTTAGAATCCCAATACTTTTCTGTGTCCCGTGCTTACACTGATCTTGCAAGAGATTGATTATTTCAAATGTCTCCATGTTTTGTGAGGGGAATGATGCAGTAGGAATTGTACTTTGCTATGTTCAGAAAAAGGCCAAAGCATCTGTCTTAATAAGCATTTTAATGATGACAACCATTATTTTTTATTTATATATATATATAATTACACAAAGTAATTTTATTTTCACAGTTTCAGGGGATGTGAAATCAGAGAAGAGCAGTGGAGATTTAATGGAGCACTCAATCGCAGGGAAAGGCACCCCCGGATCCTCAAGAATTGTGACCAGATTACGCAACCCGGACAGCAAGTTAAGTCTGTTGAAGATCCAACAGGTCTCAGCTGCTGTCCATGAAGCAAATAAGATTTATAAGGAAGGCAGAGAGGTTTGTGTTTATGTGCCGGCCACGTATGGACCCAACTGCAAACAGTGGACCTCCTTAACCCTCGGTTCTGGCTTTTCTTTTAGTTTCAGCTCCGTATGTTATTGGGTAACCTCTCTTTGTCTGCCCGGTAGCTTTGATATTCAGTGTTGACCTCCTTCTTTGTGGGTTCACTTACAAAATCCCTAAATTGCCAACGCCACTGCCATATCTGGGGAAGGATTCGTTCCAAACTGAGGTTTGACTCCTGCCGCTGTAAACCGTAGTACTGTTTTCCTTTGCATGCCTTTCCTGGGACGTAACGTCCGGCTTCATTCATTTGTGATCTTTTGTTATAATGCATTGAATGGAAGTCTTTTTCGGTGCTGGGAAGGAACTCTTGATAAAATGTGCATTTAAGATGGCAAAATCTATAAATTACTGCTCCAGTGCTAGTAATTAACTGCCTTATTCACAAATTTTCATCATCCTCATCATCCTTGTTAAGAATTGGTCGTTCAGATTTTTGAATTTATTTTGGGGGATTTCTGAGTTTGTGGAGTTCATTGTAAGCCCCTTGTTTGTTCTTGGTGGTTTAAGTCTATTTTCATGGAGTACTCAAATCTATTTTATTTATTTATTATTTTTTTCAGGAAAATACTTTCGTTGTTGAAATTCTTAGCTTCCTTGTTACTATAAATGTATAGTTCTCAGTTTTTCAAAGTGTTTTATTGCAGAGTTTGTATAGTGTGTATTGTGGACAGTGACCCTAGTAGACCATTTCTGATTTGCTTATTCCAGCCTCAATAATTTAGGAAAATGTTGAGTATTCCCTTATTCATTTTTGTGTTGTTTATCATTTACAGGTTTTAGTGGTTAATTCTCAAGGGGAAATCTCCCGGCTGAGCACAAGAAAGGAGGTGGTTATGAAAGGCACCACAAGCAATTACTTTAAACTGGGACAGGAGGGGAAATATCGGGTGTACCACAACCAGTACTCCACAAACTCGTTTGCACTGAATAAGCACCAGCACAGAGAGGACCATGACAAGAGGAGACACCTGTCCCACAAGTTCTGCATGTCCCCCATGGGCGAGTTCAAATGGAACGGATCTGTGCATGGGTCAAAGGTGCTGACCATATCCACATTAAGGCTGACAATCATTCAGCTGGAAAGCAATATCCCTGCACCATTCCTGCATCCTAACTGGGCATCACATAGGTAATATCACACAACACTATCCCTGCCTTCTCAGCCAACCCATAATCCTGTATTGGGCATCTGGGAATTGAACATTATAAACATTTGGGAAGCTGCACTTTACAACAGTTTCTGCAAAACTATTTTAAATTTTGCGGCTGGCTAAATGTCTTTGGACTTGCACTGCACTTTTCATTAGTCAGTGGCCTTTTTTTAAATTTTTTTTTATATATATAACATTTCACCCTCACGAGCAAAGATGTACACACAAACGGACATGGCACACACACTGGATCCCACCATACACACAGATGTTGCACACGCAGGAGCACCATCATTCACATACTGACTAAGCTTTGACAGCACTGGTACAGAGGATACCAACAGACATTGCACAAGCATACAGAAAGCCAGCATATACATTGACCTTGCATGCACACAGTATATATAGAGAACAAGGACATAGACACAATATGTAGTGATATTAAACTTAGAGACATTCTCAATGTATGTACACACCGAAAATGGGGCACTGGTACCGTAAGGAATAAAGCCAGTCCTGCTTCAAGGATGGTCCAGTTTTGACTAAAAATAAACTTTTTTTTGTTAAAGTTTATGCTTACTCGTGCTTGCCCAATGTGGGTGTATTTGTCGCCAGCTAAGCTAGAGTTTTTGAAATGTTTTTCCTACACCACAGGATAAATTCAGGGCAGGTCCATTTAGTCTTTTCTTCTCCTGTGATCATCGTGATAAATACTGCTGAGTTAAGTGATAATTCAGCTGGTAATCACAGCATTTGAATGTGTTGTATTAAGACATTATATGTTTGTTTTATGTCGTATTTTTGCAGAGCTCCTTCTCTAGTGTGACCTCTCAATAAAAACTCTTCATTTTCTCGAATAGGTCAAATTGGATAAAGGCTGTTCAAATGTGTAGCAAACCGCGAGAGTTTGCACTTGCTCTCGCTATATTGGAGTGCGCAATTAAACCTGTTGTTATGCTGCCAATTTGGAAAGACTGCTTGGGTCACACACGGTATGTATTTGGCATTTTATCTTTTTATTTAAGAGTGAGAAGTGGCCAAACCTTCTGCAGACACTTAAGATCCTTGCTTCACATTATCACTTGATACTCATGACCAATATTTAAATTATTTTGTTAATTTCCCTGCTGTGTTTTGTCCCCAGGTTACGTAGAATGACATCTATGGAGAGAGAGGAGAAAGACAAAGTGAAAAAAAAGGAGAGAAAGCAAGAAGAGGAAGAAAGCATGCAACAGGCCACGTGGGTGAAGTATACGTTTCCTGTAAAACATCAGGTAGGTCGCGTGGAGAGCAATACGTCTTTCGCTGGAAATCCCTTTAGCCAGTCTATCTTGCTAAATGCTCCATTCCCTTCCTCAGTGCATTGTGTGACTTGTTCCTTGTCAATAGGTTTGGAAACAGAAAGGTGAAGAGTACAGAGTCACAGGCTATGGTGGCTGGAGCTGGATCAGTAAAACGCACGTTTACCGTTTTTTCCCTCGCTTTCCGGGAAATACCAATGTTTCTTACAGAAAAGCCATGGGTAAGTTTTTCAGATATTTCTCATGTATACGTTTTGTTTCCAGTTTGTTTGGTGTGTTCGAAATTAAAGACATAAAAACGTTTTCCGCCCCGACTATTTTGTGTTTCAGTAAAATGTAGCGATGATGCTGAAAACCATACAGCAATCAAATCCGAGACCAATGCAAAGGATGAAGAGACAAAGCCCGTGACGACCTCTCAATCAGAAAGCAAAGAAGCAGATCCGGAGGAACAGAGGGACCAAATTAAAGAGGAGAAAACGTCAGAGAAGGAAGAGGGTGAAATGGACATTGATGTAAAGCCAGCAGATATGGATAAGATGTCAAGTAAAGGTATGATGTGTATGGCCAGCTATGTGCCTCTGTATATGGGTTTAGCGTGTACCCACGCTTACTGGAAGTGACTGCACTTGGGATTGTGTGATCTCATTATCTGTACATGTTTAGGATTGTATATTTATTGGCAGTTTAGGATGTTTGTTTCTGAGTCTGGCTAGAGAATCAGAGGTCTATAAACATATGTTTAGGATGTACATATATTTGAAGTGTCTGGAGATTGTGAGATATTCTATGTGTACAGGTTTAGGATATTTGTGAATTTGATGTGACTGACCTGAGGATTGTAAAATCTGATTCCTTGCATACAGTTTTAGGGTGTGCATGAATTAGGGGTGACTGCACTGGGGGTTGAGATTTCTTTGTGTACAGATTTAGATTGTAGATATAATGGCAAAGGCAGGGCTGGCAATTTTAAAATTGGATTGTGTTTGCAGGTTTAGGATGTACATGCTGCTGCAACCTGCAGTCATTTTCTCTTCGGAGAAATATTTATATTAATAATTTTTTGTAAATGACTGTATTCCTGCTGGAGCACCAATGGCATTATAATAAAGTGTATTTATTATGTTGCGTGCATACTTTTATTTCATGTCCCAAATCTTGTGTTTATAGATGAAAAAGAATTGCACTGTGAAAACGATAAGCTTGTCAAGGGGGAACCGATGGAGGTGGATGAAATTAAACCTGAACCAGGCCTAAAAAAGGAGGAAACATTTCCTGATTTTGATTTAATTAACGTTAGTGAGGGGTTTCAAGCAAGGACTTGGTATAAAAAGAAAGTAAAAACCTCACGATTAGATGGACTTTTGGAAAGGAGAGTCAAACAGTTTACACTTGAAGAAAAACAACGCATAGAAAAACTAAAACTTCGCTGTGCTGCCAAACCAGGTTCTGACCCCCCAAAAAGAGAGTCCGAGAGCCTTCATTGTGATTCATCTTTGCGTAGAGCGGGTATTGGAAGCAGACCGCTTTTAAAGGAATTCAATCACCAGGACAAACTCTCTGGCACTGCTGCGGAAGATAAACCTTTCACAGAAGCAAGTGTGGCAGCAGACAGGCAGGAGATAACAAACGTTTCTTCCAGCAAAACACTTCCTGTAGCAAGCCACCATGAGAACAGCAAGCCTTTCACAGATGTGCCTCCAGTGACAAACAGCCAGACAATGCACAAACCTTCCAATCCCAGCAATATAGACAATCTTACTGATAACAGAGCAGGTGTGACATCCAACACGGAGAACACGCAAAATGAAAATCCATCAGAAACTAGGGAAACCATGCAAAGTGGAGATTTAAATGTAACTGAATGTCACAATGGGAAACAAAATGCAGACCTTCTACCAGGTGGCACTGTCAATAAGGTCTCTTCCCAGATCTGCAGCTTGCCAGCTGGCAAAATGTTACAAAGTGAAACAAAAAGTCAGGATAATTCAGAAAAGCTGCCTTTGGAAAACTGTTCCAATGTCAGCACAGAGAGAGCTTCACCTATTCCACAAGGAAGCCAACCCGAAGAGCAATGCTGCTCTGAAAATGTTTCACCTGGGGAGGGAAATGAGGAGTCTTCGAAAAAAAACATTACACCATGTCAGGAAGTTATGGAGCCCAGCTTACAAGGATGTCTTGAGGGCACTGGAGAGCACTGCATGGACAATTCAAACCGCAGGAATGAACCTTCTACAACAAAAGATTCCTTAAAGGATGAACCGGGATCAGAAAACACTCATGGATCCAAACCACTGCCCTTTCCTTGCAAATATACATCTAATGGTGACCCACCAAAGGAAGGTGGAAAGCTGTTTGGAGGTCTTATTTATAAATATGATAAGAAAGGCATCAAAAAATATAAGTCTGATAAGCTAGAAATCGCTGCTCAGATCAATGGGAAAGATGCGAATTGTAAGAAAGACTGTTTAACAAATGACCTGAGTGAAAGCAAGATTGAATCAAAGGTAAATAACCTCTCAAAAACTGTTCCTGACCTTGAGGTTAAATCATCAAAGCACCTTATGAATGGGGACATTAGCATGGAAAGTACTGACACACCATTACATGCCAGTCCATCAGCAGACACTGAGCTGGCTTCTGAAAAAGATTCCACGGTAGAACATTCCCAGAAATCTTCCAGTGAATGGATTTCTGCAAAGGAAAGTCATTTTGTTGATAGTTTGTGTAAAACAGATAATCCAACAACTCAAATAAATGATAAAGTTGAAGAAATGGAAACTGAAGGAATTCAGAAGGCTACCCCATCGCAGGTGACATCCGGGGAAGAATCAAGTTTAAGCATTGACTTCAATGAACAGAACGGCTTGACCACAGAGAGCGTAAATGGGGTTAATAGAGTCAAAACTGTTACTGAAGTAATTACTACAACAGCAACCATCTCTACTTCCAGGACAGTTGTCCAGGTGTCCAGTGGATTGGTATCTGAGGTTGAAAAAACTGTTGTGTCCTCCACAGAAAACACTGCTGTTTCCAGCGTAACTAAGATCACTACTGTGACTGAGGTGAGTTCCCCCAGTGCTGATAGCGAGCTGGACGTGTCGGTAAAAGAGCAGCGTAAGACTGTTGTTACTTCGGTGACCGACTCAACAACTGCCAGCAATGTTTTATGTTCCATGACACTCAGTAAGGAGTATTCCACCAAGGACAGGGTGAGGCTAATCAAGTTCACAAGAGCGAAAAAGACCAGGTCGGGAACGGCGCTTCCATCTTACAGAAAGTTTGTCACCAAGAGCAGCAAAAAGAGTATTTTCGTTTTGCCAAATGATGACCTGAAAAAATTGTCAAGAAGGGGTGGCATTAGAGAGGTTTCTGGATTTAATTACAATGCTAAACCTGTACAAGATATCTGGCCTTACCCATCCCCACGGCCAACGTTCGGGATAACATGGAGGTATGTAGTGTCTCAGAGGACAATGTATGATCTAAATATGGATTAATTTGCACAGTTCTGTAACCCTGAAGGGACTCCACTGCCTGCTTGTTTTTCAGCCTTTGTTAGCAGTATTATCTGGTGTATTAGTAGCAAAGGACTGAAACTATCTGATCTAACCTCTATTATTTTAAATATCTAGAAGGGTTTTCTTTCACAGTAATCTTTATAGAGATGAAAATATAAATATAACCTGTCGAAGTGAACAGAAAGGCTTAACAAATCATAGCACACACACATTTACTGCATGTATGAACATTTAGTGTAATAAGTGATTGGGCCTTACAGTACAGTTTGTCTTGTTGCAGAACGCATGTGAGTTAGGGCGGGGGGGGGGCGCGCGAGACACCAGTTTATCAAGTGGCACAGTACTTTAAATCTCTAGGCACCTTGCATACCCTTCTATTTAGATATATACTAGCATGCCTCACAGGTACCAGATGCCGTCTAAATAAAGTTTGTCATTTATATCCCTATGATTTGTGCAGAGTTTTACAACCTGCAACTTCTTGTTTGCTTTGCTATTGAGCCAGTGTTAGCTATATATCAAATTCATATTCTTAGATTTCCGTGTAGGGAAGTTCACATCTTTACCAAGTTCCTTCTGAAAATGAGCTATAATTCCGTGTGTTTACTCATCAGACACTGACTGTATAGTGATAGAGTTTTACTCCATTAGTAAGCAATGGAATGGTTATCGATCTCTAGAACAACCTGTAAGTATAGAATGGAGTAAATGGAGCCAGGCAAACTGTATACTGATAAATGCTTACTCAGGCAAGATTGATTGAAAACTTGGAGCATGCAAGGTCTTTGGAAGGTGATGTAAAGAGTTTTTGCATGGACACTTTATCAATTAGATTTTTCTAGCTGAGATTTTGTAATTTCTTAGGACCTTGAATTACTGATAAATACTGCATCTGAATCTCATTGAAATTCCAACTCAATCCAAAGATATCATAAGACAAAGTAGGGATTACTTTGTCTTATGGTAAAGCTTGAGTTTGACAAAACGAGGAGCTCCTCAGTCAACCTTTGTCGAATCCCAGCAGCTGTCACAAATGATAGCTGTGGGATTCAGGCACTGTCTATAGAGGATCCTCCATAGGCCTCAGTGTTGTACTGTCATGGTTCCTGTCAGCTGAAATGTAAGTAAAACTCACCTACCCCATGTTCCCGGACTCGCACCACATTTGTCCATTTTTGGGTTCTTTGCTAAATATGCAAATTTTTCCGAAATATCCGCTTTAAAATCTATAAACACAGGAAGTCTGTAACTGGGTCCCCACTGCCCTGTAATTAGTTCCCCCTCAGGTCTGTGTGAAGCTTTAGCTTGTTTAGAACATTACAGAAAATAATCGTTGGCATTAATGACACTGGATCCTTAATGCAGGTACCGACTCCAGACTGTAAAATCTTTGGCCGGTGTGAGTCTCATGCTTCGTTTACTCTGGGCCAGTTTACGATGGGATGATATGGCAGCGAAGCCGCCTCCTGGTGGAGGAATAACCCGAACAGGTAAACTTTTTATTTTGCTTCTGGAAATAGTTAGTCGTAGTTCCCAGGCCAGAGGCCATAGCAGTCAAAATATCTATTGTGCAAATAGACATCTTTTTTTATTGTGTTGGTATTTTTAGTTATAGCATTTAAATAACAAATGTATTTGTTTACAGAAACGTCTGAAACAGAGATTACAACTACAGAGATAATAAAGAGGAGAGATGTTGCTCCATATGCAATTCGCTCAGAATATTGTGTACGAAAAATCATTTGCCCCATTGGCGTTCCTGAAGCACCAAAAGGTGGGTGTGTGACACTAGTTTTCTGCAATCCCGTAGAATTAGAAGATTGCTATCGGATGGATTCCTTTATAGTAATAGAGATTCCGGACTGTCTGCATTCATTCAGAAATCCACTTCCACTATTCTCCAATCCCATAACTGCTCTACTTCCAATCAATAATCTGATTACAGGTATAGGTTCAGCCAGCAGTCTGTCTACATTATACTGTGACCCCCTGACTGCTACGTCTCTGATCAGTAATCTGAGTACAGGTATAGGTTTAGCCAGAAGTCTACATTATACTGACACCCCCTGACTATGCTACATCTTAGATCAGTAATCTGTTTATATTGTACTGTGACCCCTGACTATGCTACATCTCCCATCAGTAATCTAAGAATATTATACTGAGACCCCCTGACTGCTACATCTGTGATCTTTAATCTGAGTACATTAAAGTGCCAGTCCCTGACCACCCTAGGTTCAGCCAGCAGTCTAGCTACATTACACTTTCTAATTACGCTATACTGTGAGCCTCTGACTGCCCTGCACTTGTTGATTACACTATTTTGTGAGCCCCTGACTGCCAAACACTCATGGATTACTCTATACTATGAGCCCCTAATTGCCCTACACTCACTACTTACACTATTCTGTCAGCCCCTGACTGCCCTACACATGATTGAAAAAAATCTGACTGAATTGTACTCCAAACTCCCTGATTGTCCTATGTTAGATCTGAAATCAGACCAAAATATTTTAAGTCCCTGGTTGATCTGTGCTAGCAAAGGAATGTTAAATTGCAATAGTAGTCTGTGACAATGCCGGAATATTAAGTTTTAGTTTTCTCTCCTATGTGACCTCTGTTCAAGAAAGAATATGATTGTCATGACTGACATATATGAATTTGCTCAATCTTCTTAGGTAATGGAATGTATTTCATTATATTGCTACAAAAGAAACAACTATTTGTTTGCTATTAAATGTTTGTTACTTGTAGAAACACCAACACCACAAAGAAAAGGGCTTCGTTCCAGCGCCCTTCGTCCAAAAAGGCCAGAAACCCCCAAACAAACAGGTCCCATCATCCTGGAAACATGGATCGCAGAGGAAGAGCTTGATTTATGGGAGATCAAATGTTTTTCAGAAAGGTAACTTTGCAATTTGTTTTACCAGGGGTAATGCAATCGTCTTGCTCTGCAAACTGCGATCTGTAATGGCACCTCTCTCTATTGTAGGGTGGAGAAAGAGAAGGCTCAGGCTGTGGAGCAACAGGTTAAGGTTAGTGATCAGAAGAAAGCAGAGGAAATGAAGCTCCAGGTGGAGGCTCAGCTAAAGCAACAACGCCTGACTGCACAGCAGGTGGGGGAGGCAGCGCGTTTTACCTGCTTAAAACACAAACTTCAAATGTGTGTGAACTAATGGCATCCTTAACATGAGTGGCAGTGCATATACCAAACCTCACAGTTTCGATTCTGTGTCCCTCTATCCTGTTGTGCCTTGCATTTCCCCCGCATATCAATCTTTATTTTACACTTTGGTGCAATCATTACGGGCTATGATCATGGCAAAATTTGCTAAAATACTTAGAATGCCTTAATTCAGTTTGTGTGTATTTGAAGTGACCTTTAGTGGTTTATTCCCTGCACATGGAATGTGGACAATGTTCTGTTTTTGGCCATACACACTGTTTATTTTCCCCCCATTTGGCTATTTTTAACCTAAAATTATAGATCCCTTTGTCAGTTTTGTACCCAGTTATAACCCAGTCTAGTGAATTAACCCAAAAATCTGCAGCATGACCGGTAGATTGCTGTCCACAGGCGCCATAAATGTTCCTATATTTATTATAAAAAGAGCTTATTTTGTGTTTGTTTTGTTTTATTTGGGGGGAGGGGTGAAATAAGGATACTCCTTATTTATTACCCTTTAACAAACTTGATTTTAATCTAACAGTAAACAATTTGCCTCCAGAAACGACTAGAGCAACAGAAACAACTGAACTCTGTCAGCACGGTGAACCCCACCACAACCAGCACCACCATGTCACCAGTTTCAACACCACACAAGGTTATGGTTGGTTCCTTATCCAGTCCTGGAACCAAAGTGGTTCTTGCCACAAAGGTTGGTTCCCCGGCCACCGTAACATTCCAGCAAAACAAAAACTTCCACCAGACGTTTGCTACCTGGGTTAAACAAGGCCAGACCACTACAGGTAATTTCATATTGTCCATGCTGCATCTGTGATGTATGATGTATGTTTACGATGAACTAATAGTGTACTTTAGTTTGTTTTATTAATTTAGCTCTGGCAGTATTTCACCCCTTAAGGACACACGACATGTGACATGTCACGATTCCCTTTTATTCCAGAAGTTTGGTCCTTAAGGGGTTAAGTAGTTATTTGTCTCCCATGTTAACCCCTTCACGACCTCTGACGTACCAGTACGTCCAACAAAAAAAATGGTAGTTAATGACCTCAGACGTACCTTGTATGTATTAAATATTATACATATGTATAAATTAAATTTTTTTATAATATATATGATTTCATTAGAAGTGTACTTTAAGATATATACACATATATCAAAATACACTTATAATGAAATATTGTATATGTATAATATATTATAAAATGCTTGAATTATTTTCCAATATATTATAGATATATAGGAAATAAGTGTGTGTGTGTATAAATATAAAAATAAATAAAATAAATTTGTAATTTATATTATATATACATATATATAATTTTACACGTGTATATATAAATTACAAAATATTTATATATATATATATACACACACACACACACACATTCTACATATATTTAGCTATTAACTACATAATTATTTGATTTTACTAATTATAATTTCAGAGACCTGCCTGCCAACCCAAGCACAAAGTCCAGAGAATTTAATTGGCAAGCCTTATATTTAACCCCGTAACTTTCCAAAACACCATAAAACCTTTACATGGGGGGTATAGTTATACTCGGGAGACTTCGCTGAAAACAAAGATGAGTGTTTTATCATGACGATGATATCACCAGTCAAAGTGTAGTTTTTGGTTGTTTAAAAAACAAAACAAAATATGAACGCTAACTTTGGCCACCGTTTGTGACTAAGTGGCTACTACAGAAGAATGGAAATATCCAATTTTAAATACCCTGGGTTGTCTACGTTTGAAAATGGTATGCCGTGATTAGGTTAATTCACATCCCTGGGCTACCATGTGATCTCAAAAGGCAACATAGCTAATCTGGCAAATAGCAATTTACAATAACAGAAACTGGCAAATCTTATGTTTGACCCTGTAACTTTTCACCATACAACCTGTTGTACCCGTGAGACATTACTCTACACAAATATGAGCGTTTTAGAGCAGTAAAATGTATTATACTGATATCATCAGTGAAATGACCGTTTATGTGTGAAAAATGCAAAAAAAACACAAAACAATATTAATGCTAATTTTGGCCAGGGTTTGTGACTAAATAGCTACTAAAAAAGACTGGACATACCCCATTTTGAATACCGTGGGTTGTCTACTTTTACAAATGGTATGACTTGATGAGGTTAATTTTCATTCCTGGGCTGCTATACGGTCTCAAAGGCAAAATAGGCCCAGCAAACCAATCTGGCAAATTTCAATGTGCAAACACGGAAAAGGGGAAAGCCCTACATTTTGACCCCTGTAAGTTTGCAAAAAAACATAAAACCTGTACATTGGGGGGTACTGTTGTACCCAGGAGATGTTGTTGAACACATATTGGGGTGTTCTTGGTCAGTAACACAACAGGAACTGAGAATCCATGCCTAAAATACAATGTGAGAGAAAAAGAACACAAAAAAATAACTACCCAAAGTTATACAAAGACTGGTGGTAGAATTAGTGCATGAAAAGTTTTAAAATACCACCATTTAAAATACCCTAGGGTGTCTACTTTTCTAAAATATATGGTTTAATGGGGATAAATTACGTTGGCTGGCAAAGGATCAAATGGAATTTCCAGAAATGTAATCTTTGCATGTTTTATAGATATTTAATGGAAGTGGATATATCCTTCATGGTGCCTCACTGGTGATTTGTATATTTTCCAGCCTCAAGTACTGCTGTCACATCTGGCTCTACCATTGTTACTGCTGGCCAGACCTTCCAATTTACGGGAAGTCCTGTTACCATGGCTGGGAAAGTCCTTACTAAACTGCCTCTTCCAGCCAACAGCAAACTTGTGGCCGTGAACGTGCCAACAACTCAAGGAGGTTAGTGTGTGTATCTCTGAAAAGGTTGGGGCATATTCTCCTATTTCTATAGGCTAAGCTAACCATACGTGTTACTTGTCATGCAGGTGTAATGCAGGTTCAGCAGAAAGTATTGGGGATTATTCCATCCAATGCAGGAGGTCAACAAACCTACAGCACATTTCAGCCTCGAACAGCGACTGTTTCCATCCGACCCAACAGTAACAATCCTGGGGTTACCACTGGAACCAATCAACAGGTACTGCTAAAAAATCATATTGATGCCAGGCTTCTTTTATGGCAATCGTCTTATGAAAACATTTGAAGAGAAATCTATCAAGAAGTGTAATAGTGCGGTTCTGCTGCACTTGTTGAAAATGATTGAAATATAAAGCCTTGATAAAAAATGGATTCTGAATTAAGCAACTTAACAAAATATGTATTTACCTATTTGAATACTGAATAGATGTTTTAGTTATGAGCATACAAAACTGACAGACAATTCGCTAAAATTATCAAAGTGGGTTTTAGAACATTGATCCAGAATTGTTTTAGAGAAATAAGTCCCATTGGCTTTCTTGCACAAATAAACATAATCGACGTATAAACAGTACTAAATAGGCGAATATCACTAGGTACAAGAGAATACAGTTAGCACTGTAACGTAGCTTAGAACCATTCTAACAGAAGTATTTGTATAACATGTCTCTTTACATATATAGTTGATCTGATATTGTCTTTTGTGCAGGTAATAACCGCTGGTGCTCAGATGAGACCAGGAATGACTGTTATCCGATCACCGCTGCAGCAGTCTTCAATAGGAAAGGCAATTATTCGGACACCGCTGGTCGTTCAACAAGGAATCCTTCCTTCTGGTAATATAATATGTTCTTAAGTGCAAACAAATGCTGTTTTCACTAACAGTATTTTGTGCATTGAGAAACATCGAAGTTGATCTGTGGTTTCTAATTACTTGTAATGTCTGCTGACTATATTTGTGTTTTTATTATGGGTGTTTAATAGATTTTTGGGGATTTTCTTTAAAAAAAAATATATATGTAAATGTATGTACTTTTTCTTAACACAATATTTAGAGCTGGTTAATAATAAGTAAAAAAAATAAAAAAAAAAAATAGAAAAACTACAATCTACGTGGGCATGTTCTCTTTAACATTTCCCAAGGCACTAGATATATAATTTTATTATATAATATTTATTCATAGTGATAAATCATATTTTTATTACACCAGCAGCCCTTCGTCCAGCGATGTCATTTTCAGGTCTCTAGGTGTTGTATCCTTACTCCCACACACTTTTGCTGCTTTCTGTAAATGGCCCTGTTTGGGACTTTTTCCCCAAGGAAGGCCATCCTTTGTGCTGCCAACATGCAAGCATGTGGGTGTCTGTGAGTTGCATACTCCCTGAGTAAGCGTGAGGAACGCCTGCTGGGGGAGCAACACAATGACTGGGGGCAAAAGTACTTTGTGGAGGAGGGTACTCTTACTCCCCCTGTCACTTTCTATTTGGCATTAGACCCTGTGTACCACTGGATTGACAAATGAGGGAGAAGCGAACATTTTATAGAGATTTAAGTTAAAATGTGTGCATTTGCTAGTAATTCTCTCAGTACAATGTATAGATGAAAATAAATCCTCTTTAAAAGAAGATAACTGTTTGTTCCATGATCGGTACACTTTAACTCCTAAACAGCAGAGAATTGAGCAGTGAGACTGCAAGGCCATAACATGTACGGGTGGTCCTCACTTTACGACCTACCTGTTTTACAACAACTCGGACTTACGACCAGCTCTCTAGCGTAGGGATTTGAAGGATTCCCCACGAGAGCTGCTCTATATTTAGGGAATTTTCCCTGAGCATAGATTTCAGAGATTCCCTGCGCCAGTGAGCTAATCTATGTTCAAGGATATTTCCCCGAACATAGATTTGCGGAATTCCATGCGCTAGTTAATTGGTCTATGTTCAGGGGAATTTCCGACCGAGTTGTAAGAACAGAACACAGTAAGTGAGGATTGCCTGTACTCCAAAAACACTTCATTAACCCCTTAAGGACCAAACTTCTGGAATAAAAGGGAATCATGACATGTCACACATGTGTCCTTAAGGAGTTAAAGGGATACTATAGGCACCAAGATCACCTCCACTTAAGTGATCAGGGTGCCTTGTCAGTTTAGGTTTAAATCTGCAAATGGAAACGTTTCCAGGTTTGAAATGCCTCTAGTGGCAGTGACACTAGAGGCACTTCTGTGGAATTAGCCCAGTTAAACTCTTGTTTTATGGGTTTTTCCTATGGGAAAGCACTGGATTGCCTGATATCATTAAAGGACCACTATAGGCACCCAGACCACTCGAGCTTAATGAAGTGGTCTGGGTGACAGGTCCATCTACGATTAACCCTTTCTGCTGTAAACATAGCAGTTTTTCAGAGAAACTGCTGTGTTTACCTATGGGTCAATCCAGCCTCTCATTGACAGCCGCTAGAGGCGCTTCTCACTGTGATTTTCACAGTGAGAAGACGTCAGCGTCCATAGGAAAGCATTGAGAATGCTTTCCTATGGACTGGCTGAATGCTCCTGCGGCTGTTGCCACGCATGCGCATTCAGCCGATGGCGGGGAAAGGAGGCGGAGAGTCCCCACCGCCGAGGGAACCCGGCGTTGGAGAAATGGTGTTTAACCCCTTCCTCACACCAGAGCCCGGCTGGAGGGGGGCCCTAAGGGTGGGGGTGGGGGGGACCTAGAGACCCTATAGTGCCAGGAAAACTAGTGTGTTTTCCTGGCACTATAGTGGTCTTTTCAGAGTTGTGATCTCCACAAATGAGTTGGGGTGACTGCATAGAGAGCAGCACAGCAATGGCAAAAAGGTGAGTAAGCTGTTTTTTTTTTTTTTTTTTGTTTTTTAAATCTTTTAAAAAAAATATTTTATATTCCTAAATCTATAGTGTCCCTTTAAGCTCAAATGGTATTTGGTGGTTTGAGTGCTTTAAAATGACTTTACAAAAGCACATCATTTATGAAAAGCATTTTTGTTGGAATTGACTGATGAGGAACACATATATCATAGTGATAATCAGGGTGGTTCGCTTCTGTTGAAAGAAATCTGCTACATCATAGATTTGTGCATAAAATTCGGGACACTGTATGCACTAATATCCCTCTTGTTTGCTCTCTTTTTAGGCCAACCACAGCAAGTTGTAACTCAGATCATTAGGGGCCAGGCTGTTTCTACCACAATGCCGGCTGGAACCCCTGTGTCAGCTGGTGGGCCGAAGATGAGCACAGCGGTGCAGCAAGCACATCCACAAGCAACTGCTTCTCAGACTCCCCGACCTCAGCAGGGCCAGGTGAAACTGACAATGGCTCAGCTCACTCAGTTAACACAAGGCCAGGTAAAGAAACCTTCCACATAGCACACAGAGATGTTTTTGTAAGTGGAGATTTGTTGACAAGAGGCATAATGACAGGCCCCAGTTGTTTAGCTCTTCCCTTGTACTCTGATTGATATGTTATTGGTTTGTTTCAGGGTGGAAACCAAAGCCTAACTGTGGTGGTGCAAGGTCAAGGACAGACTACAGGTCAATTACAACTGATTCCCCAGGGCATGACGGTTATCCCAACTCCAGGACAGCAGTTAATGCAGGCTGCAATGCCAAATGGTACCATCCAGCGTTTTCTGTTTACCCCATTGCCACCGTCATCATGTTCTGCCAGCACAACCATGACCTCAACACCCAGTAGCACCACTCCAGGTAAATCAGAGGGATTGCACACCATGAGAGTTTGCAATATGTATTTATAGATTGGCTGCATCACATATGTCATTATCTCTGAAACGAGGAAATAGGCACAATATGTGTAAAACAAGTTGTTAACCCAGTCACGAGAAAGAGGGGATGGATGTTACACATTTTATAGGACTACCATATCAATATATATATATATATTTAACATGAAATCCATAGAAAAGTACCAATTACCTGGGATAATGTATCTATTCCCTTGCAGCTTCCATGTCTTCTGAGCAGAAACCAGCATCACAAAGCCAGCTGCAGAGTAATCCAGTACCTCCGCTGGGTCCATTACAGGCTCCATCCCGGTCTGAGAGTGCAGACCAATCACAATACCAAGCTCTGGCTCCCATGCAACCCCAGGTCCCTGCTCAGCCCCAGTCTCTTTCTCATGTCCAGCCACAGCTGCCCACAACATCTCATCCACAGACAGATGCAAGTCCCGGTGTAGAGCAGCCACATCCACTTCCTGGCAGTCACCAATTGGTTCCAGAGACTCAGCAGAGCAGAGAAGGTCAGCCTGTAACATCTGTTGGCACCCAACCTTCTTCAGACGTCAAAAGCTCTGTTACTCAAGTGTCCATTCCGCAGGCTGCCACTCAGGTCTCACTGCAAAACCAGCCTCAGCTTGTTAACCGACAACAGCCTTCAACCCTGTCGCAGACAGCAAGCCACAAACAGTCTGTGCAGATGGCAGTGCCGACTTCCTTCCAGATTCAAGCACCAGTACAGACTTCGCAGCTCCCAGCTTCAACTCTTCCTCAATCTCAGGCCCACATCCAGACGTGTCAGACAGCAACCCAAGTTACTGTCCAATCTCCTTCTCGAGCTCAGCTTCATATCCAGCCGTCCCAGGCCCAAGTCATTACTGTACCACAGCTGCAGCAGCAGGTCCAGGTTGTCTCTCATTTACCACCCCATGTGGTGGCTCAGCTGCAAGCCCAACAAGGTGGTATCCCTCAGCACATCAAGTTTCAAATCCCCTTCCAGATTCAGCAAGCTGGCTCCATGCAGACTCACCAAATCCAGAATGTGGTTACTGTGCAAGGGGCTAGCGTTCAGGAGCAGCTGCAAAGGATTCACCAACTCCAGGAGCAGCAGCAGCAGAAGAAGAATAATCAGGAGGTGAAGCGAGAGCAAATCCTCCAGGGGTCCAGCCAGAGTGAAATCATCCAGAAACAGGTGGGCAGAGTTCCAGAGAACTTCTGGAATTGTATGAATACTATGAATACTATGAGTTCTATTTACAGACAGCTGTAGATGACTTGGGATAACTGGATATACTTTCAAGTAACCAGCTGTGCCTGATCTGTCTTGTTGTTTGCTTGTGATAGTACTCACGTGTACCACTCTGACCACAGGTTGTCATGAAGCAGAATGCTGTTATAGAGCACCTGAAGCAGAAAAAGACTATGACCCCTGTGGAGAGAGAGGAGAACCAACGGTAAAAGATTGAACTCTTTAAACTTGTTACATTCTGACGCAAAAATCCATAGTGGCTAATGTTAACCATCATACCAATCAACACACGAACACACAGCATTAACATACGCAAAGCATGAACTTTTTATAGACCCTATTAATATCAGACTTATCACAATACCATTTTATTGTTTTCATTTATTTGCTGATGGTTTTAATTGGCTTTTTCTTTGTGTGTTTGCAGTTTACTGTCTTAGCTATAAAAGCCTTGGCTGTTGCTTGAACAATTCTATACAAGTTATTATGTACGTATACGAATGGAGGTCAAGGCAGTGCTTTATGTGAACTGCAACGGTTTCTGCACGTTGTAATCATATATCTGCTTTCTGCTGTAGACAACCATCAACTGCAATCCAGAGTGTGACATTACACACAGCAGTTGTTTTGGTTTGTTTTCAAGCAATGGAGTAAACACTGTATGCTGAAAGGGAGGGCCAATTAATGTGGGCTTGTGGCCCAAAAGGATAAAAAAATTTTTTTTGAAAAATCTCTAATTCTAACTGTAACTAAACATGCATATTGCACCAAATGTGTATCTGGATAGATTTGTTGGCTGATTTTTTCCAAGTTTATATACACCTTTTAATGTCACCTTTCTGTATTTTACATAAATTTGTGATACGCCTATTTTAAGAAAGGTGACATGTTTATTAAAGTTTTCCTTATAACTGCTCCTTTAAAGATAAGTCACATCATAACTATTTTTCAATAAAATAATAATTTCATAAACTTTGAAATTAAATAGGTTTTTTTTTGTTTTTGTTTTTTAAATGAAGTATCGGTATATTTAAAAAAAACTACAAATGTGAAAAACATCCCTACCTTTAGTAAAAGACAGGATCCTTCAGCTGTAGACACACAGCTTTGGTTGGACATTGTTTG